TTCCTTCCTTCCTTCCTTCCTTCCTTCCTTCCTTCCTTCCTTCCTTCTTTCCTTCCTCCTCTCTCTGTCTCTCCTGCCCCATTTCCTTCCCCATTTCTTTTTCCTGGCTGTCTTGCAGGAAAGCGACGGAGAGAAGAGCGATTGCAACCTGATTGTGGACGAGGTACGTGGGGAAGGAAGGGAGAGGGATCGTGGCAGCCGTTCTTCTCCGTGGTGGTGGGAAGCTTCGGCTCCTGCTGCAGGCACGAGCAGCTCTCAGGAGGTTTTCACACTAAATTATGCAGGAGTTTCAAAGCTGCTGGATTCCGGGCGGTTTCACCCTCCATCGCTTTATTTCTCCACGCAGCTTTGCACTTTTCCTCTCTCTTTTTTTTTTTTTTTTTTAAAAAGTCTTAATTACACTCCGGGCTCATTCTGGGGGTCAGACCAGCCGCTTCCTTCTGACTTCTGGCAAGATGAAAGCCGTGGCTCTTTGACGTGGGTGGCCTATTGCTCCCTCCATGCATTTTTATCCTTGCAGGAACGTGGGAGTGTTTGCATTCTCCCTACCTCCGTAGAAAACGCGGTTGAGTATTTGCAGCTGGATTTTCCTTCCTTTGTGCCAATTGGTGCCCCCCACAAATACCCACTGTGGGCAGCTTCTGGAAAATGCCTGGCTTGGGATCAAAGCCGCATGCATCTCACCTAAACCCAAAGACGGACTGAAACGCATTGCAAAATAAACATTTAAAAGTTTGGCTTGAAAACTCTGCTTGCAAATAAGGGGAAAAAAGAGAAAAACAGCACCTCAATTTTCACATTCTGCTTTGTTTTCCTATCCTCCCCCCCTCTACGTTCACCCTCTTCCTTAGAGAGAGGGAGACAGAGACAGAGAGAGACAGACAGAGAGAGAGACAGCGAGAGAGAGAGACAGAGACAGAGATACAGACAGACAGAGAGAGAGACAGCGAGAGAGAGAGAGAGAGAGACAGACAGACAGACAGACAGACAGACAGACAGACACAGAGAGACAGAGAGAGTGAGACGGAGAGAGAGACAGAGACAGAAAGAGAGACAGAGAGACAGAGACAGAGAGAAGGAGAGAGATTTTGCTGGATTTGCACAACATGTTTTATACATGTGCAAATTGGGAGGATCGTATGCAGTTTGGGCAGCTGTTAATTTAAAAGGCTCACAGGAACGTTTGTCACAAGTTGAAGGAGAATATCAGAACAATGGCAGGTCAGGAAAAATGGGATTACAAATGAAGACAAATATACGTGTCCCATACAGGATCCAGCCCGAATCCACAAGTTTGGAAGTCTGGTCCCAATGATTTGTCTTAGTGGACAACCAATTAAATAGGAGCCAGCAGTGTGCAGCAAAAGCAGCCAAAAAAGCTAATGCAATCTTAAGTTGCATTAAGAGAGGGATACAATCGAGATCAGGTGAGATACTAATACCACTTTATAAAGCCTTAGTAAGACCACACCTAGAGTACTGCATCCAGTTTTGGTCACCACACTGTAAAAAAAAGATGTTGAGACTCTAGAAAAAGTGCAGAGAAGAGCAACCAGGATGATTAGGGGACTAAAACATATGATGAACGGTTGCAGGAACTGGGCCTGGCTAGTCTAGTGAAGAGAAGGACCAGGGGAGACATGATAGCGGTCTTCCAATGTTTGAAAGGGGCTGCCACAGAGAGGAGGAAGGGGTCAAGCTATTTATCAAAGCGCCTGTAGGCCAGACAAGGAATAATGGATGGAAACTGAACAAGGAGAGATTCAATCTAGAAATAAGGAGAAACTTTCTGACAGTGAGAACAATCAACTGATGGAATAGAAGTTGCTTTTGGAAGTTGTGGGAGCGTCATTACTGGAAGCTTTCAAGAAGAGGCTGGACTAACATTTTGCTTCTCAACCAAGAAGCTTCTTCAGCTCTGACTGGATGGAGGGGAATGGAAGGATTCATACTCCTTGCAGATAGCTGGTCATTTGCATTCTTTTTAGAGAGTCATTGAGGCCACTTGGAGGTTTATCTGTGTCCTCAGGGTACCTGAGTGGTACAAATGGTTCTTGTAATCTGCGATTTTTCCTCTGGAAATCCATTCCTACTCCCACCCCATTCCAAGCCTGTTCACCCCAAATTGTAGAGCCCAAAAATCTGTAGAGATTCCTTTCGTGACCATCTGAAGTTGCAACAGCACTGGATGAAGCGACTTACCACCCAAAATCCATGCTCTTAACAACGGTTGCAGCATCCCCAGGGTCATTATAATGAAAATGTGAGTGCTTGGCAACCGGCATGTGTTTATGACGGTTACGCTGGTTACAGCATCCCGGGGTCACACGATCACCCTTTGCCACCTTCCCAGCCAGCTTCTGACCAGGAAAATCAATGGGAGGAAGCCGGATGCGCTTAACGACCGCATGGTTCACTTACCCACTAAAGAGGTTCGCTTAACAACCCTGGCAAAAAGATGATAAAATCGGGCATGACTCCCTTAACACATGCCTTGCTTAGCAAGGCAAATTCCAGCCCCAATTGTCCTAAGTGGAGGACTATCGTATACAATTAACAATGATAGATTGTTAACTAATTAATTATCTTAATTATTGAAGTAACGTTAATTCCACTGCTTAATTGAGAACAATTGAACCAGTGGAACAGCTTGCCTTTCAGAAGTTGTGGGTGCTTCATCACTGGAGGTTTTCAAGAAGCCACCTGTCTGAAATGGGATAGAGGGGGTTGGACTAGAAGACCTCCAAGGTCCCTTCAAGCCCTATTGGTGATTGATTGATTGAATATTACACTGAGCAATCAAGCAATATTACAGTAGGTGACCTCTGAGACTCCTTCCAATTCAGGATTCGGTTGACATTGAGTTGACCTCTTTTTCTGGATATGCCCAATTCATGAACCAGCCCAAAGAACTGGATTTAACAGATCCAGCCAAGCCACCGAAAAGCCAGAACTAAATGGGAGTTAAAACCAACCAATGGATAGTGCAGCTACCAGCTCTTTAATGGAACCTGGTTAAATGCACATGTGGGAACATAGCTAGTAGATAACCATTGGCCAACACAACCCTTTTTCTTCTGAAAAGGTGAGAAAACCAGCAGTCGTCCATTGGACTTCTTTGGAATTTCTGCAAGGGGAAAAAAAAAAGGACAGGAAAATAATAATTGGTTTTACATTCCGCGGTAGTGAGTCGAAAACCATTTCCTCCCTGTTGCTCCCCCGAGAGAATCTGGAAGGATTAAAACCAAGAAAAGAAACTGTAATATAGGCATTCAAGCAGCAATCTCGGGTTGGCTGGGAAGAGAAACCGAGGTGTGTGAGCCAGCTGACACCAGAGTTGTGTTGTTGGAGGTTTTCTTAAGTGCCCGGTTGGAAAATAAAAATGTGTTGCTTGTGGATGGATGCCTGTGGAATCACCGGACGGGTTTAATCAGGAAAAACAGGCTGGAATGGATGCACATTACAGATTTACAGATTAAACAGAGTTAGTAGGGACCTTGGAAGTCATCTAGTCCAACCCCCCGCCCAGGCAGGAGACCCTACATCATTTCTGACCAATGGCAGGCCAGTCTCTTCTTGAAAGCTTCCAGTGATGGTCGGATTCAAAAATCCCAGCATCCGGTTCTCTGCCCGGTTGCTGAGTGCGCGTGGTCATGGTAGGGCGTGGCCTACCGGAACTTCCAGGAGGACCATTTTTCACCTTCCCCAGAGTCCGGAGGCTTCCCTCGAGCCTCTGGGAGGGTGAAAACAGCCTCCCCCAGGCTCTGGAGGCCCTCCAGAAGCCAGAAAGAGGCCCATTTCTGGATTTCCAGAACTTCTGGTTTGGCCCATTTTTCACTTTCCCAGAGCCTCCACGCGGATCTTGCACTTACCTGCATCCAAAATGGGTCGCGTGGACATTCCTGGGAGGGGAGGGGAAGGGAAGGGAGGGATGAGTGGGGCTAGCCGGTCGGTTCAACTACCGGTTCAGCGAACCAGATGTAAATTTAACATCCGGTTCAGTTGAACCGGGCCGAACCGGCTGAATCCCACCTCTGCTTGAACCCTGTCAGGATTCCGGCAGTTACCCTGCCCATTTAAATCATGAATCTCGAGCCAAACGTCCAAAACTTCAAAAGGATTGATTGGGAGTTAACATGTCTGGCACTGCCTGGGTATAGCCAACTCTGAGACACATCATTTATTGTCACCCTTGACCCTGGTTTCCCCTCCACTCCTCTGGGTGTATCATAATTCATATATCCTCCAATGGGACACCTCCATAGCCCAGAGTCATCAGTCATGCTCTCCAGTTAGAATTTTGCCCAGCAGAAACTTCAGTCACCTAGTTACTATCTTTGAAAAACTATTTATGGAATGCACTTTCGATTTCCAAGCTGCCGCACTGCTCTTTCAAGCCCCTTTGCCCCCCTCCCTTTCTGTTGGCAACTCTAAAAAGACCATAGAAATATTTTACGAGTTGACAGACCCCTTCCTCTCCGTGGCAGCCCCTCAAATATTGGAAGACTGCTATCATGTCTCTCCTGGACCTCCTCTTCACATTTTAGGAAATGGGAATTAAGGACCTTCTGTCGGAATTAGGCAGGCGAGGGAGGGGCCCATCAAGTGTAGGTAGCCCTCGACTTTCAACAGTTCATTTAGTGACCATTGGAAGTTACAGTGGCCCCGAAAAAAGTGACCTATGTCCACTTTTCACACTTAATGATCGTTGCAGCATCCCCAGGGTCACGTGATTTACATCCGGTTGCCTGGCAACTGGTTCCTATTTATGACAGTCCCAGTTGCCCCGTCCCAAGGTCACATGATCCCTTTTGGCAACCTTCTCGACACGCAAAGTCATCGTGGAAGCCCGATTCACTTAACGACGGTGTGACCCATTGCAGGGATCCCGCGTGACAAATGCGGTGAGAAAAGTCGTAAGATGGGGGCAAAACACACTTAACGCATGTCTGTCTCGCTTAGCAACGTACATTTTTGGGGGGCTCGATTGTAAGTCGAGGAGTCCCTTTACCTCAGAGGTCTCCACACTGGGCAACTTGAAGACTTGTGGACTTCAACTCCCAGAATTCCTCAGCCAGCCATGCTGGCTGGGGAATTCTGGGAGTTGAAGTCCACAAGTCTCAAAAGTTGTCAAATGTGGAGATCCCTGCTTTACCTCAATGCCCAAATCTCTCTCTCTTGCCAATTTTTTTTCCCCCTTTGCAAAAGAGGCTTCTGGTTTTCCACCTCATTTTGGGGCAGCTTGGGAATTCCTTTCAAATTCCTCAAATTCCTTGAGTTTAGGTTGTGGTGGGAGGTGGTGGAAGGGACAATTATGGCTGCTAAGAGATGCTTCTATGTCTCTGACAGGCCCAGCCCCACCAGGCAGCTGTTCACGCTTCCCAAGAGATTCCCTCCCAGGGTCTTTCCATAGGGCTGCATGAAAGCAGGAGAAATGATTGTGGCTGGAAAGGAGGGGGGGGATTCACTTCACACCCCACCCCTTGCCCACCGCTCTGCCAAATAGGTATAAGCACCATACATCACAACTTCCTCCCCCTCCCCCTCCCTTTTGCTTTTCTTTCGTTCCTTTCTTCCCCTTTCCCCTTCTTTCCTTCTTTCTTTCCTTCCTTCCTCCCTTTCTGCCCCTTTCCCTTTCTTCCTTTCCCCTTCTTTCCTTCCTTTCCCTTTCTTTTCCCTGCCCCTTTCCCTTTCCCCTTCTT